TCACAGAGGAGCACCTGGTCATAACCAGGAGTACCTGGTCACAGTGAACAGCTGAATTTGGTGCTCTGCTCAGATGTGGCCAGACAGTGTACAGAATAGAAAGTTGGTGCTAGCAGGCCAGGCATTTCCGTACTCTCTGAGAGTTGCTTTGGTGTTTGCTGGGCATGGTGGCAAGTACCTATAATAATCCTACCTACTTCAGAGGCAGGGGTAGCCGGAGGATTCAAGTTTAAGGCCAGCCCAGGAAAAGTTATCCAGTAGGACCTTATCTGAAAAGCAATACAACCCACATGGACATTGCACCTGGCGTGAGTTAGGCCATCGCCACTCCAAGAAGCCCCAGCACAACAGCACCCCAGTGAAGTACAAGTCTGCCTTTGAACTTTAGGTTGTGTGTGTAGGTACGGGGGGAGCAGGGAGTGTGGGGCCCTGGAGACTGAACTCAAGGGCCTGGGCACTGTCCCTGAACGTGTTTGGTCAAGGCTAACACTACCACGTGAACCCCAGCTCCACTTCCAGCTTTTTGGTGGCTAATTGGAGGTAAAGGTTTCACAGACGTTTCTGCCCAGGCTGGCTTTGAACCGTGATCTGCAGATCTCAGCCTCCTGGGTGGGTGAGATTGTAGGTGTGAGCCACCGGCTCCCGGCTTCACATACCGTTTTTTTTGCAGACAAAATCCTGTACATAACCAAAGTCTAACCTTAGGATAGAACCACATCTTGATGTATTGTTGGCATTTTCACAGTAAGTGTTCCAGCAGAGCTGAGTACAAATGGCCTCACTTGTAAAGTCCTTCCTGTATTTTAAATTAATTTTTAGGCTAGACTCCGGAAGGGAGTTACTAGGTTAAAGGGTTATCGGTGAGCCGAGGTCCCCTCTGCCCCTCCTGAGTCCTTCACTGCTGCAGTTTGGCCTCAGGTGTGCCCAGAGCTGGGCTGCCTTTGAAAAGGACACCGTCCCTCCCTGCTTGTTTTAATCACAGCGAGGTTGGGCTGTGAGCCCTCGCTGGCCTTCCCCTCTCACCTCCTCTCCTCTCCTCTCACCTCCTCCCGAAATAGCTGGAGGCCGAGGTTTCCGCTTGGGGTGGGGGTGGGGGCTGAGTCCTCCCCTCCTGCTCCCCCTCCCTCCCTCTCCCCCTCCCCCTCCGGAAGGAGGTTTGCCCCAGGCAGGGACCTCACTTCCTTTGGCCTAGTATTTTTAAACTAGTCCATGCTATTGTGAGTCAATTCCTGACTTGGTCATGAAACTTAGGTGGCCTGAGCTTCCTAGGAAGGTGTCCAGCCAGGGCCTGCTGGCCAGCGGTGCCGCACAGCTGTTTTAGCTGGCTACAAAGTAGGCCAAGTGGTGACTGGACAGACTTTAGCCCCTGTCCCTACTCTTACCTCTTGAGGGAGATACCCAGAGGCCATCCCCAGAACAGCCCAGGACTTCAGCCCAGAACCAGCTGCTGCCCGGGCCTGTACAACAGCTGGTGGTAAGTGGGATCCGGGTCCCATTCTGGCCCTGTGTGGTCCCCAGGCCAAGGCCTCTGGGCCTCAGCTTTTAGTCTGTGAGGTGGCGTGGCCCTGGGGCTGCCCCAAGGAGGACACCAGGGTGTAGCACCTGGTTCCCTCCCAGGAAGTGCTTATGAAACAGTTTGTTGTTGTGGATGCTGTAGTCATCACGCATCGAAGGTTCTGGCCAGTTCCTGTTCTGTCACCAGGGACCAGGCCCGAGCCTCCCACGTGGGCAGCGCTGACATCTGGAGCAGGCAGCTCTTCAGCCTGGGCTGTCAGCTGAGGGGGAGTCAGCTCCCAGGGAAGATGTTTCCGCCACCCAGGGGACAGTGCAGAAAGCTTTGTGTTTGCATGGAGCCTCTCATCTACTTTATTCTTGACTCTCTTGGTAATGGGTGCGGGTTTCCTTGCTAGGCAAATGCTTTGACACTGAGCTGTAGCCCAACTTCTCTCTTCTGTACTGTAAACCATCTTTAGATGACTGACAGAACCTGAGAGTAAAGATACATAAATACTTTTATATTGCATTGTTTGGGGAATAATGACAAGAAAAGAGTGTATACGTGCTCAGTTCCAGTTTTTTAAAAACTATTTCCATCTCAGGCCAGATGTGGAGCCCAGTGCTACTGGGTTTGCCTGTCCTCTGGCATCATCTCAGAGTCCGATGAAAGATGGTGTGCCGACAGGCAGAGGCCCGTGGCTGTCCTCTGGGCCTTGGATCTCCATGTGAGCAGGGGAGTTGTCTGAAGGCAGCAGAGCGGCTTTCACAAAGGGAGCAGTAACACAGGTGCCTGCAGAGGAAGGAGATGCTGCCTGTTGTTAGAGCTACGCAGAGACCAACAAAGGCCTGTGGGCTAGAAGCTTCCACCTGAGAGGAGCTCGGGCTGGTGATAGAGGTGGAGAGAGGGAAGCCAGGCAGAAGACTGGGCAGGGCGGCCTGCGGTGGCCACTGCTGCCCCTTGAGCTTGTGGGGCCTGAGGCCTGGTTCAGTGGCTCCTGCTGGGGTGGACCCGATGTGCGTTGCTCACCAGTGCTGTCGAGCATCAGGTGGGCCGGTGCCTCTTGGCCAGCAGAGCTGCTGCTGGGGCAGAGGGGCAGGAGCTGCCGGACAACACCTGGGGGTGGGCAGGGGAGAGAGCAGGGAGAGTCAGCTTTGAAGATACCCATCCTTTCAACATCTGAGAAATACAGAATTAGAACAAAGTCTTTGAAATCCAGTGTGGGCTGGTACTGGGGCTTGAACTCAAGGCCTGGGCGTCGTCCCTTAGCTTTTCTACTGGGGCTGGCGCTCTGCCCCTTGAGCCACAGCTCTCCCCATTTAATTTTTTGGTGATTAACTAGAGATAAAAGTCTCATGCCCAAGCTGGCTTCTAATCCTGATCCTTGGCTCTCCTTCCTGAGCAGCTAACAGACGCGAGTCTCCGCTGCCCTGCCTAGTGTGTGTGGTGTGTCCTGCACTGGAGCGTTGATTTGGACGGGCTCTCTGTCCAGTCGTGCTGGTGTGGCCTCTGTGCAAGGTGGTGCTGCGCCAAACCATGTGCTGCCCCTCCGTCCAACAAGCGGTCAGCGGGTTGGAGCTGGGCCTGGCCGGGGCCGGCTCTCAGAGGCCCGAGCGTTCAGGCTTCATGGTTTGGTGTCTGCCGGGGACCACTTCGCGTGGATGGCGGCTGCCGCGTTGCTCTGTGGTGGAACCAGGCACCGTGTTTGGTGTTGTTTTATTTCTGAGGACAGGAGTCCTGTTTGTGAGGGCGTGGCCCTCATGTCTGACAACTCCTGGGCCGGGCACATTCCCAGTTAGCGCCCCAGTGCGTGCCTGCAGGCTACACAGACGATTTTGCCTCTGGAGGCCAGTGGGAGTCTTGGAGGTGTCAGGCTGACGTCATGGGAGGGCCTCCCTGCCTTGTGCTCCCAGGGCCTGGCCAGGAGGCCCAGGTCATGACATTTTGGGGCCAAATCTGGGAGCAGGGGTGATTTTCCCAGCTGCCCCAGGCCTAGGTGGCCGGTGAGGCCGGGTCAGAGCCGCTGCATCCTGAGGACCGGAGGTGTTGGCAGCCAAAGCTGAGGTTGGGGCCCAGGGTGGAAAGGCCCCGTGCCCAGCAGCCCAGAGGGGGAGGGAGGAAGGAGAGCAGGGAGGGTGAGCTGGTGATCAGAGAGGGCGCAGGACCTGGACTCTGCCTGCCCCAACCCGTGTAGGGTGTGGGGGCTGGGAAGCTCCTCACTTCTGCTCCGATGTCTCTGAGCTGCCCAGTTGGTGCCACAGTGCTACATGGTTCTACTTGCCATCTGTCGTGCTGGGGCCCTGGGGAGAAAGGCGTCAGTGAGACCACCTGTCCAGGAGGAGCTCACGTAGGTGTCTGCCTTACAGTTGTTCATTGAGTACGCTCTGTGCCAGGCGCTGCGAGGTCTCTGCTCCACCTGAAAGGTAGGGGTTTGTCCTCACTCCACATTCAACAAAGCAGAGGCCCAGAGAGGTTCAGGAACATGCTCAGGATTGCTCAGCCTGTCTGGCAGGGCTGGGATGAGGGCCTAGTCCTCTCTTCCAGGGCCTCTCTGGAGGGAGAGGTGTGTGTGTGCAGGACAGAGGTTGTCAGTGTCACTCCGTGTGGCCTTGGAGCTCCTTTTCCTGGGAGGGGAGCCTTGCCCAGGTCTGCCTCAGCCTGCCTACCCGGGCAGCGGAGCTCTGGGCAGGCCCGCGGAGAGGGGAGGGGCGGCATGGCGGTGAGACCAGCACGCTGAGGGGCCTCTAGCCCTGGCTCTTCCCTTGGGTGGGTCTTCCACTTCGAACTTTCTCTTCCCCTTTCTGCTCCCCCTTTGCTGCGTTTCCCCTTTTACTCCCTGTAACTTTCTGATGTGTTTTCCTTGCCAGCAGGCCGTCCATAGTGAGGGTGAGGGGTGGAGGGTGCTGGCTGGGGTTGAGGAAGGCAGGCTTCCTGCCGCCGTGCTGTGCACTGG